TAGTTTTTCTTGCCGTGTTTCGCTACGGTATAGCAAGTTCTCGCTTCGTACAGTTCTCGCGTTGTTCTCGCGATATCCAGGCAATTCTATGAATTCCTGTGAGTGTTCCGGAGGTGTAGTGCTGTGCCTTAGTGCAGTGCTCACCACTGTGTCCTTTGGATACAGTTCTCGGCCTCCACAGATTAGCTGCCCCAGCTCCGGTGAGGACTCCCAATTTATTAATTGGTGAAGGGATGTCGATAGATAGTAAAAATTCGTTCTGATACGTTCTCGGTTCGTCGCTCTCTGTCTCTCACACTATTTGTCGGACTCTTACTCCGACCCTCTCTACCACAAACCTAGCAGCCTGAACGGCCGTGCATTTTTGTAACCGTCCGCTCCCGTTCGTGCATCCACTTGCGTTTGCTGATTTTACGCGACCCCAAAGATCAGCTCCTACGGTTGCGTTTCTCGATTTTACGCGTCCCCAAAAATCGATAGGATCCGTTAAGCTATCGCCTCGTCTGATAGGTTCCGTCAGAATTCTCATTTTAGCGGAGTTGGGCCTTTTCCACCGCAACTCCCAGTTTATACCGACTCGTCAGTACCCGGTGAAAAAAGAATTGGCTGGCGCCCGCCCGGCTTGCGGATGCACGAACGACGGGTGGACGGCCGAAGGTAACGTAGGTTGGTTCTCGAAGATAGTTCGTTCTCGGATGCTTTGCTATCGGTGTCGAGTTAAGGAAAAGAATTACGTTATACATTATATTAATGAAAGTATTATCAGATCCTGTATTTAGTTATTTCGTTTCCCTAATTAATAAAACGCATAATATAAGCGTTGAATAAAACAACTTTCAGGCAATTTTGATTAACACTTCATCAATTTGATTAAATTATTGTTTTTGCTAAAAATCGTATGAATTTTCAACTATGAAACTATCCGTTAAAACTGTTAACACATACTGTTAGCCGCAACCACAGGATTTAGTAAAATCAAAGAAAAGTCGGTTAGTTGAACCAATTTTTTTTAAGTACGTTAAAACATTGACATAATACTAATTGAAAATAGAAAAATAAATACAATTTTTACCAAAAAATGATTTGTATCTTTCCACTGGTAGTTTCAATGACAACTATATAAAAAATATCAAACAATGCGTTACAGTTCGTAAAACAAAATAATCACATGTCATCACGATTACACTTTCATATGAAAGTCAACATATGTGAAGGCAGTCCAATCTTTCTCTTTATTTTATTCTAATGTAAGAAATAATGTCACGCACTGACTCTTGCCCCTCAATTAAATTTCCTAACTTTCACAGATTTTCTGCCTGCTCGCGCAATGGCGCAATCTCATCTAATCCCTTTCCAGTCCGCAATGGCTCCTATTTAATTCCTAGTAGAGGAACCTACATGCCTAGTAGATCTCCAATTCTCATTTGAAAAAATGCGAAGCCCTGAGTATCTTGTGATTACAATTTTTTGTTTGGTGATAATCTGTATTCCATTAAAAGCATGGAAGACTCGCGAACTGTTCTCCAGCAGATCGCTTCCACCGAGAAGACGACTTTGGCAGCTGGGACAAGAATTTCAAGAACAACAGGTAGGCCACTCCTCTGGAAAGACGATATATATGCCAAGAGGAGCCCAGAGTATTCCAGCATTCTCGGAAGGAAGCAATACTGGTAGAGACCGAAGATGTAAGTTATTGTTACTAATTGCTATATAACAATTGATAATCAGTCATTGTTTACAGTTCTGTCATTGTTCACTCTGGTTCAATTTGGAAATGATCTTTGTGGAGGATTAAGCGGGGAAAACGGAACGTGTTTCTCATCTGCGGAATGTTCACAAAGAGGTGGCGTTTCTAGTGGCGTCTGCGCTAATGGCTATGGAGTTTGTTGCATTGGTAATAAAACTTTAAGTCGTCAAAGAGTATTATATCTCCTGGTATACCTAATGCAGCTAAATGTAATAAAAATTGATACTCTGACGAATTGGTGTTACAGTTACAGTATCCTGTGGCCAAACAATCAGCAACAATAACACTTACTTTGTGAACCCGAATTATCCATCCACCTTTGATGCGACGGAGTCTTGTCAACTGACCATTCTCAAGTCACATCCTCAAGTTTGCCAGTTCAGGTAAGATGAAATGTCTATTTTTCACCGCTACGAAGTTTCAGATATAATGCACGTATATGGCAAGTAATACTTACACTAAAAAAAACTTATGAGTATCAAACTTTGGGCTTATATGTACATATATATTCATTTCCTATCTAAAATCTGTTATAACTTACAAACTGGGCACTGTACTTAAAACTATAATGCAGGATAGACTTCTTCCATTATCTGTCTGCTATTTGTTATTCATTCATAATTCTTAGACTGGACTTTCTACAATTCAAGTTACGAGGTCCGGAGACCATCAATCATGTTTGCACATCTGATCAATTCATCGCGTCTGGAAGTAATCCAGTGCCGACTATTTGTGGAAACAATAATGGGAACCATAGTAAGTGCTCGAATAGTTAAGAATAAAATGAAAATGTATTTTGAGAAGTACTTCAGTGTTCCAATATGTATATTTTATAAAGTGTACATCGATGCTGGAATCGGACAGACAAATCCTGTGACCCTGACATTCGTCACCAGTGGAAGTTCTTTCGCTCGCTCATGGAAAGTGCGCATTTCCCAGATTCCATGTAATAGCCCTGCCAAAGCTGATGAAGGCTGTCTCCAATTTTATACGGGAGTTTCTGGGCAGATCAAGTCCTTCAATTACGATGCCATCAATGGTCTACAATTATCCAATCAAGACTACAGTATTTGTATTAGAATGGAGCGAAACTTTTGCGGCGTACAATACATGAGCTGTCAAGAATCTCGTAAGAGAATTTCTATAACTACTGAAATTTCTTGTGCGCTGACATACTTTAACCTTATTTGATGTTCAACTTTTTCTTTTCGAATAAGTCTCGACGACAGATGTACTGGCACCTGGGGTGTCGCAAATGATCCCAAAAAATGGATTTAGTTTGACCGGAAATACACAAGCTACTCAAATCGCCTCAATGACGGGAGCTGCTTGCCAGACAGATTGGCTAATGATACCGTGTGTTTTGAATTTAAATAGACTGGGAAATATTGGCATTGCGTGCGTTGATCGCATCTGCGGTGGCACATTTGCTGCTGAGAGCCAGAGCCTTAATTCCTCCTCGGTTATAAGTAAATTCACTTCACTTAAAATACTCCTCAGTTATTCTTTTCTTTATATTATAAAGAACCTCGTTACTCACTTTTAATCATTCTTTTTAGGTACAGTAAAACCATTCAGACTGGTATTTCACACGGACAGTACGGAGGCTCCAAACGACGTAAGTAACCGAGGTTTCTGTCTGAACTACGTGCAGCAGCCTTGTACAACCAAGCTGTAATGAAGTGATATAAATATGAGACTAGCGGGAAGGACAGAAAGAGAGACAAAGAAAATGAAAAATCACATAAAAACGCACATTTATTTTATCAAACCAATTTCGTGTAGTCCGAACACTATTGTTATCGGGTTTCGGTAATAGACATTTGGAGTTGTGCTCTTCGTTGTACCAATCTCAAGCCCATGTAAAATCTTGAGAATTAAAATTAAACTTGAAACAGAGATTTTAGATGATCGTTTAGAAGTTGAAGCTAATTGTAAGATCAAATCGTAGTGAGAAACTTATTATTGCGATACATTTAAAATACATAAAATCAACACTCCTGTTGACATATGACCCTGAGGAGATAAGAAGGTCAGTAGAATAACTCTAGGTTTTATAATCAGAAAACTCCTCAATATGTTGTTGTCATCAGTGGCGAATTACTAGTGTAAACACCGCCTTTGTAACATATGTGACTTCAAGTTGTCAATACATGATATGTACTACTATTCGCTATGTGCGTAATAATACAGTTAAATGTTAATGAGGATGTATAGCGGATGTATAGCGGAGGAATACCGGTGTATGGGACGCCATCTGTGCTTAGGTTGTCATTGACAATTCCTCAGTCAACATGAGAAGCATCGACATAAATATACATACATTCATACATAGAGAAAAACAAATAAAACTGCATTGTCTAGCAATGCAAGGAATGCGCAAACTTTTTTACACCTCTAATTATCCACATTCGAATATACTAGAAACATTTGATATGTATTACTCTGAATTGCACTAAACTACACATACACATGTTTAAGCCATATGAATTCACGTGGTCACCAGAAAGGTATACAGTAAAATTAATACAATATTGTACCTTTATATGTACATACATATTAATGTACATATGGTATAATACATATTTATATATAAGGTGATTCACAAGAACTTACTGATTCGGATATGACTTAAATTTAGCAACGGTGATTGTGATCGGTCATTGATTAAGGTCGTCGAGCAATGACGATAATGACAAAGTCAGAATTGTAAGGAATACTATCGTCATTGATTAATGAGCTTGATCATTGCCCAAGCTGATTCACTTCCGAATCTGTAACTTCTCATGAATCACGTTGTATACATATACAGGGTGAGGCACTTAAAGTGTTACAAACCTTAAGTGCCTAAATTATCTGCGATGTCGAAAAAAATTTCATATGAAAGTGTTTCGAAAGAACCGAAAAGAAAGAATACGCCGGACATGTGCGCAGGTAACTCCAGAAATGTTAGCTGCAATTCAACGTTCCTTTCATGTGAGAGTGAACAAATGTCTATAAGTACACGGCGACTACTTCCAGCATCTTCTTACATAAAAAAGATAAATTTTATTTCTAACCTCGTATGACCTTACATGACTTTGTATCAGAGGTCTTTGAATTTGTCTCATCGCCAGTTCTCATAATATGAAATATCTCTTCATTCTATTTGAAAAACGGGGAGGTGACCTTAACCCAGCTTAGGGCTTCAACTGGCAAAAAAAAATGATGGTCTCATATGATGGCCACCTTCATATCGAACAACTTTCATACGAAACTTTTTTCGATATCGCCAATAACTTTGGTGCAATAAATATGTAACACCTTAAGTGCCCCACTTTGTATATATGTAGAGAAAGACAGGCTGTCGGACGTGGATATGAAATTCAAACTAAGATCCATCCAGTGGATATTTATCTATTCTAATCTTCTTCGAAAGTCATTACACTGTCCATTGTAAACAAAAGCGGCACGTCAAACTGCCGTGACATCTAAGATGACATCTCCTTCGCCTTCATGAAGTAGGTAAGCATATCGATCGGTAGCGGAAACACGATTGTCGAATTCTTCTCAGCGGAGATTGTATTCAAAGTTTGAAGGTAACGTAGCTGAAGAGCGGCTGGAGAATCTCCGATCACTTCAGATGCTTCTCTAAGAGCTCTGCTAGCCTTTTGTTCGCCCTCAGCCGCTATCACCTATCGGTGGAAAGAAGGACAATTAGATGAAAAGACACAAGGAAGTTTGTAAATTAGTTGGTCAATTGGTCAGTTAATTGGTCCAAAAAGGTACTGACCTTTGCACGAGCTTCTCTTGCTGCCTCTGCCTCAGCTGCCATTGCCCTTTGCAACTGAACAGGTAGTCGAACGTCCTTACTGAAATTACGAATAGAAAGAAAAATGATAAGTGCAAAATTACGACTGCCCAAATATTGCCCATGCACATGACTTTATGCACGCAACACACTTACATTTCAACGCGTTCGACTTTGATTCCCCAAGTATCAGTGGCTTCATCTAGGGATATTTGCATGTTTCCAGAAATTGTTTCACGCTCGCTGAGGATCTCATGAAGTGGTCGTGTACCCATAGTATTACGAAGGGTCGTCTGAGCAAGGAGTCTCGTACTATGATGAGCATTTTCCACGTTGGCAATTGATATCGTTGCGTTGTTTACTCGATAGTAAACGACAGCATCGACGGAAACCGTCACACTATCCTTAGTAAGAACCTACAAGAATTATTGGACATTCTGTTAATTACTCTTTTTGTTTTCTTTTTTTTTACACATGGCAATTGATACGCACTTCCTGTGGTGGAACGTCGTAAGTGCGCGTTCGTAGATCAACGCGAGCATAGCAATCGATACAGGGCAGTATGAAGAAAATACCTGGAATACATATGCTCTTCACAATCAGCCCAGTGTCGTACTTGTTACAAATTTCAAAGAATTGTTCACTAAAGAGAATCGCTAGTCAATTCATGGGAATAAAAAGATTCGATACGTTGAACTGTTATTTTAATAAAGTATTTAAGTAAGAAGGTCTTGCCTATGTGAACTACTAAATACATAGAATTATTCATTTAACTGTAATGTATGAATGAGTATCACTTCCATATACAAATTTGACTTGGGTTTCTACGTATATTGGTACATATACGAACGAAACAATTCTTTGTTATCATAAATTGAAAACTGGATTTCCAATGATGTTTTATAACGTTTTATAACCTCATAAGATTCGCTCTTAGTATTTTATTTTTTGATCGAAAGTCAAGCTCTTTCTAGTTTTTCATAAGACAGACGTACTGAGTATGTCGATTTAACGCCATATGGAGAAATGGAGTACTTAAAGTGAATTTTATGATATCCTAAAATGTCCTGCGATCATCGGAAATCGAGCTTTGAAAACCGAGTGCCGGACGCGGAATTAGAATTATTCAAACATACGGTGGGAAGGTAGAAGTGTGAGTGTAATTATTTAAACATGTTTGAATAATTCTAATTCCGCGTCCGGCACTGGCGATTTTTTAACTTGTGAGGCTCATATCTCATGATAAGTTTTATTTGAGGAAGCTTAACACTATCATTTTGAAAATTCCACTACACGAGCTGCAATAATATGCAATAAAGATTAGGGGGTCTGATTTAAAAAACCCTAAGTGATCTTATCCTGAACTTCGCACCGCCATCCAACGTCATGCGAATCATCACCTTACTTCCCTCC